CCTGAAAAATTCCATTGGTCTTAATTTAGTCATATGACCCCATCCAGCTGCAAGGAAAGCTGGCAAATACAGTCTTCCTGTGTATCCAGATGGAGAAAATAGTGTGATAAGCATGTACCACTATCTCTGACATAATTTTATTTCTATTTCTTCCTAATATTTTGGCTAGCATCCATAAAATAGTATTAAATATTAAATAACAGTGATGATAAAGAATAATTGTCTTATTTTTGATTTTTATTCTTGATAATGAAAATGTTTTCACTATGTTTCCATTTAAAACATGGCCAATTTGGGGTCAAGATATGTATATTTTAGCATCCTAAGGAGGTTTTATATCTCTTTCTTTGTTAAGATTTATTTATTTAATAAGTGATATAAATTGAAATTTATCAAATATCTTTTTGGCAACTATGAAGATAATTATACAAGTTTCTTTTTAAAAGCTTAATATTGTAAATTGTATTAGTAGCTCTCTTAATGTTGAATTATTTTTTCTCACTTTTAAAGTCTAATATAATATACAATGTTCTTGAAAAGCTGTATTATGTTTGCTGTCATTTACTTCAATTTTTGTATCAATATTCATAAGTAAGATTGAGCTATAGTCTATTTTTAATTATTTTTGTCATGTTTCATAATTCATAAGTTGAAGCTTTATGGAGCTTTTTCTCTTTTTCCAGTTTGTTGAGCTGTCAAAATTGCATTGGAGTGATTTGATTCTCCAAAGAGAGAAAGAATTCCACTATGCTTGGGTCAGTTGCTGTTGTTGTAGGTTTATGCTTCAAGCACATAGCCACTGGGCTATCAATGTTCAATCTTGGCAGTACCCATTTTATCACTGCTTATAGCTATAACATTTTAAAATGTTTAATGAGAATGTTTTTATTACTTCCATGCACTCTTTCTGGCTCTCAGTATGCTCTTTTATCACAGCAATCTGCTCTTATTTATTGCTGCTGTATCTCTGAAATTATATCAAAACTGGAAAACAGATTTAAAAAAACATGACTCTCAAGTTCTCTACATTTCCTCTGCCTCAGTGGAGACATTTCCTCTGCTTCAGTGAGCTGTAGTTATTTTCCTTCTCTTTTGAAACTGTTGATTTTTCTCATGGATTCAGTCGTTATTGCTTATCCTTATCAATGTAAGTCTATTTAAGCAGTACTCTCAGCTGATATAAATTTCTTCAGCACTCATGTAGGTATGGACACGTGGCTCTTGGGCTGCTCATAGACCAATGGGTGACAAGCATACCACGGCATGTCTTGTCTTTGGTGTAAGTGGGCCCGCACATAGGGTCTTCCCCCCAGGGAAACAGGAGCATGACTACAGGGTCTGCTGGTTTCTCTCTGGATCCCATCATGATAGGGGTTCTCTTTGCCATAGAAACTCGTATATATATACATACATAGTCACAGTAGTGAGCATATGACTAAGTCCAATGTAAGTTTTGGTTTAAAAAAAAATCTATCGTGAGAATTCATCGACATGGTCCCCACTGACTGGTTTGAAAAGTGAACAATGATCCAAGCCAGGTCAATCACAGTCCTTCCCTGGAAGTTTTTTGAAGGAGATCTAGGCTAGTAAATCTGTGAAGAGGTGAGCTTAGGGGATGCTAATGGTCAGGCTCTGATCATGTTGAGAAAAATTGGTAAGAGAAAAGGAGATGACATGTTGGGAGAGACAGAGAGAGTTCTGAGTACTTGGTTCAGGTAACAAAATTTCCTGGAGTGTCCTGGTTCTTGCTTTCCCTCAGCTGTTCAGTTCTTGCTATAATTCTATGAGCTACCTCAATAAATTCACTTTTTGCCCATGTTAGTTCAAGTTGGAGTTCTTTTATTTTAGCCAAGAGTAGAATAACCATGGGAACACACACACACACACACACACACACACACACACAAAGATATATGTATCTCTTTTTCATCTGCGTCATCTCATGGAATTCCAATTTTTCAGTCTTGCCAATTTCCAGGACTTGGGCAATACTTTTCCTTCTACATTCACTGAATTACCTCAATGGGGATAGCAAAAGGGGCAGAGTCAATTGTCATGTTAGGAGCACTACCTTGGAGATACACAAACAAATACACAAATCTGGATACATATTTTAGTGCTAATTTTCTTTCCTCCTTTCTTTGTGACTCAATTCTCATTGTCTTCTTTCTCTTTCTAAAATACAAACAAATTTCCCCTTAAACCTAAAATTGGGAGATAGTGAAGAAGCTCAGCTTTTATAGTAGGAATATAATAAGATTTCATTCTAAAACACGACGTAATCAGTCATTACTACCATGCAAATATTATTTTAGAAAAAAATGTTGAATGTCTAGTGACTTCAGCAATTAAGTTTTTGGTCTTGGACCAGTCATAAGTACCATATCAGAGCCTTGTACGATCTGGGCTGACATTCACATCCTGAGCTGAACTCCTGAGCAATTCTTGCACTTTGATGCAAGTCAATTATTCACCCAATCTTTTCCATATACCCTTTGACTTTCATTTCAGAATTGCAAAAGGTATTCCATGATTTTGGAGGCTAGATATTCTCCTTTGCCCTTGCTGGCAAGCAAAAACTATACTATGAAGTGATAAAATTTGAATCACAACCTAAAGGATTGTCTTTGTTCTTGATCGAAACAATTTTTTTTTTCCAAAAACCTATGAGAGGCTAGGCACGGTGACCCACGCCTGTAATCCCAGCACTTTGGGAGGCCAAGGCGGGTGGATCACTTGAGGTCAGGAGATCGAGACCAGCCTGGCCAACACGATGAAACCCCGTTTCTACTAAAAATACAAAAAAAAAAAAAAAATCAGGTGCACGTGGTGGTGCATGACTGCAATCCTAGCTACTCAAGTGGCTCAGGTAGGAGAATAGCTTGAACCCAGGAGGCAGAGGCTGTAGTGAGCCAAGATCTCACCACTGCACTCCAGCCTGGGCAACAGAGTGACACTCTTTCAAAAAGAGAAAAAGAAAAAGAAAAAAACCTATGAGAAAATACCACGATTAGGATAATCTCTTTTGATTATATATTTGAGCAAATTTTATTGAAACAACTTCATTCATTGGATGTTCTTATAATTGGTAATAGCGTCTTCTTTTTAAAGGGTAAAATACACACAGCTGATGAAATTGTGATGAAGTTTAGCCTTTGGGATTAGCTTTACCACCTTTAAATACACATCCCTTTCTGACAATATCTACACACTTCTGCTTTTCCTATAAATAGTCATTGACCAAAAGAATCTTTCCATTGACTTGCTGTCTCTAGATAGTTGCTGCAAGTCTAAAGAAAACTTGAAGTGTACCCATACCAAATAATCCTAGAGAGGATTACTCTAACACACTGTAAAACTTATATTGGGAGGAAGAAGGCAGGCAGCCTGGGTTTCTCTGCCTTTCCCTTACATCCTAACAATGGCCCCCACTCCTGCACCTCAGTGCTTGCACTCACCTCCAGATTTTGCATGAGACTTTTTACTTACTTACAACTCCCTATATTCTTTAGAACTACCACTTCAAGCCCATTCCAATTAATTTCTGAACTCTGAAATTTCACCTCTGTAAGAAAACAAAAAGAAGTCTTTCCTAATTAACCTCATTTGGTTCTGATTTCCCACTTAGCAGCCTTTCAGAAATCTCCAACATGTTACATCTTTGGATGCATCACCTGGTCTTTCACTAACTTGTTCTCTGTGCCTTTGGTACAACTCCCAGTTGGCTGCAAACTTCTTTGATGCATCTGCCAGCCCTTTGGTAGTAATAATACTAATACTAAAAAGCTAACATGCCAGTCTTATTATGCTCCAGACACAATGCTAAGTAATTTACTGTCAGAGTATTTGGATACTGTCTGGCATATAGTAAGCCATTAATACAGGTTTGTTATTATTACCATTTATAGCCCAATTAACTTGGTATTACTATTCTCTCCATTTCAGGATAAGAAAACTGTGAGGCACAGAGAATTACATAAATTGCTCAGAGTCACAGAGCTCATTACGTGGCAGAAACAAACCTTGGTGCCCATCTATTTGACACCAATACCTATCAATGTTCTTAATCATTACAAAAAAATTGCTAAACACACACACACACACGCACACACACACACACACACACTAATTAATCCTTTTTGCGATAATACCCCTGTCGTTTTCAGAGCAGTGTAAGTTGTACTCAAGGCAGGTTTTACTTAAGAATTCACTCCCCTTTTAAAATTTAACTGTCTTAGAGACATAAGGAAAAAGTCACAAGTATTTGTATCTCCCCGGAGATTTTCATTTTGAAATTTAGAGGCCACTGAAATATGTGTCCTTAGGGAGAACAATGGGTTTTTCAAAACTTCTAAGTTGCTAAGGAGCTGTGTTCTGTTTTTTAACTATGAATATGCTACATCAGTCAGTCACCAGGACATCATATTTGCTTTGGTCGAAAGAGCTAGGCCATGTCCAGGCCTGAGCAATAGAAAAAGTTTATGAGTATATTGCTAATATAAATGATTAATAATACATTACAGGCTCAACCCTGATCATGCCATGCATCTTCTTACAGTTATTTTGAGTACATTTTCATTTGATGCTCACAATTGCTCTCTACTGTAACAACTTTTCTCCTGGTCATGCTGTGAGATTGTACAGGGAGAAACACGCACTTCTGATGTTGTCTTTCCTGAGTTCTAAAGAAGGCTTTGCCTTTCCTCCCATCTCCTTTCCTTTTTCTCTTCCTTCTTCCTCTCATAGGCTGCCCCGTCCTTTTCTTCCTTAGCTGTCTGAGCTTTCTTGAAGGGAACCAAGGGTCGTAGATTCCCCAGGCCTGAGCCCTTCTGGAAGGCTCCAGGTTCTCTGGAGAGCAGTCAGGTGACAGAATCAACCCAACCGGGCCCAGTGACATAACTTCCCACTTAGGCAGCTGCACAGCACCCAGATCCCATCCCTGGAAGCTTCAAAACCCTGGGCTCCGCCACAACCAGGCACAACTGCCTCCCTCCAGGTTTCCACTTGGGTGAATGAATGGGCTTGAAGGCAACTCCAGATGCAGGAGGCGCGTTGCGGAGAAACGTGTCATTTACGAGAAAGTTTGTTTCCTATAGAGACTGCAGTTGGCAGCTGCACTCCCAGTCGGTTGCGAGAAAAGCTCCCCACCTGGGGAAGCGAGGCAGCTCCCGTGTGCGCTTGGCAGGGAGGACGCGGTGGCGGCGGGACTCGAACTCGGTCGTCGAAGGGCGCCCCGCAGGGTCCCGTCTGTAGCCCGGACGGCGTGCCCAGGTTGGAGTGGGAGGGAGCCGGCGTGCACAGCTGTCTTTGGTCGGGCTCAGGCTTCCGCTCCCTGCCTGCTCCCCTTTCCAGCCTCCCGCCCCAGAAATGATCTCAAGCGTTGCCAGTTTGATTCCAGAGCCCCACTCGGGTGGGTTCTTTTGTTTCTTTGTTTTAATGACAGTTCCCAGCCCTTCGGCATGTCATGCGCAATTAATTCCCTGGCTCTCACGAAGGCAGCTGGGGTGAAATTTCTTCTGCATCATCCTTTTGGGGATAATTGTTTATGATGTGACGTCAGTCGGATTGATTTTTCTCTCTTGAATGAAGGGTGGGAGGGGAGAAAGAGAGACGGAGAGAGAGAGAGAGGCGCACAGATGTGCACGGAGGCCACCGACACTGACATTTGGAATTCCTTCAGGGTAAAAGGACACCGGAATGGGAGCTTAAAAATGTATTGCTAAGATTTCAGGCTGCACGGAATTGTTAAGTTTTTCTTAAAAAAAAAAAAAAAGAAAAGAAAGAAAGAAAAAGAAAAGAACCCCCTCCGCAGCAAGCCACTTAGGTGCTCCTTTCACGCCAGAGTCCCCTGTTAAGGTGGCAGCCCTTGGAATTAATCTCGGGCACCCAGCCGCTGCTGCAAGCTTAAGGAGACGACGAGGAGGGGCGGGGGAAGTGCGTCACCAGGTGGGGAAGGGGCTGTGTATTTGGTGACAAACGGGAGGCGATGGGGGTGGAGGGGAATGGGGACGGGAAATAGGTTCTGTGTGCTCTCCGGGGGTATTGTGTCAGGAGATGCAGGCTGGCTACCATGTGACGCGGTCCAAAGCTGAAGGGATTGGCCGAGGCAGCGCAGGCGGTGCAGCTCGGCCGGCTTGCCTTTCCTCTCCCTTTCTCTCAGCATCTTCCTGGTAGCCTGCCTGTAGGTGAAGCAGCACCAGCAGCATCCATGGCCTGTCTTTTGGGTTAACACTTATCTCCTTTGGCTTCGGCAGCGGACGCAATAGACCTCAGCAGCGGCGTGGTGAGGACTTAGCTGGGACCTGGAATCGTATCCTCCTGTGTTTTTTCAGACTCCTTGGAAATTAAGGAATGCAATTCTGCCACCATGATGGAAGGTAGGATGCTTTCGGCTGTGGTTGACTGGCTTCAAGCAAGGTTTGGGCGGAACAGCGTTAAAGAATATGTGCAGCCAGTGTATGTGGCGGTTCTAGAACCTGGTTGCCAAGGTTTTGCAAGCAGAAATGCTGCAGTTTGCTTGCAGTGGATCTGGGCTCAGACTAATGGAATCAAACCACAGGGCTGCTGCCTAGCTCAGAACCTACAGAGCTCCCAGCTCCTTTGAGAGAGAAAAGCCTGAAGTGTTTGCAGGGAGCTGAGATGGAGCTAGGAAAGAGCTTGCAAGCAAATAAGTTGGGCAAGAAGATAAGGTTTTCTGTTCTGGGTTCCTGGGACTACACTGATTAAACATTTACAATGGAAACTTGTTTTCTGAAATTGACATTAGACAGGAGAGGTCATGAACAGAGTTATCCACACAGACATTTTCAGTGAACTGTTAAAAAATTATAAAAATTCTTACAAGGTATTTTTATCTCTGCAGTTTACATCATATTATTGGGATAGGAGGGCAGCAAATTTGGTCCATAAACTGTAGTTGTATGAGAATGTAATTGCAACAGAATGAAAAATATAAGGAAAATACCCGGGCCTCTTGCCTCCTGATTCGGGGTCTTATTAGGTTAAAAAAGAATTTTATGCTCCCTAAATGCTTTCCCTGTCCAGTGGTTTTTAGCCAAGCATCAAATGATTATTTGCTGATGATCTTTTTGTATATTCAATATTGAGTGTAAGGAGGAACTTTCCCTGGGGAGATGCTATTTAAACTATATTTTATTCTACTAAATTACCCTTCCCAACCTGAAACTGTGACAGCCAAGATTGTCTCAAAAAAGCAGCAAGCTGATCAGGAAAGAAGCAAGCAGCTCTATGCAGGCTTTGATTTTCTGTTTTCACACTATAGGATGGTGCAAAACTCCTGGCCTTTCCTAAGATGACAGGCAGAAATTTGTCCCCAGCCTGGATTTCACAATGCAGAATTGAGTGCATAATGGGTCTCAAATCAGCCATGAAAATGGCAGAGAGGCCACCTCTTAAGCCAAGGTTTGTCCTACGGATTTTAACTATTGCTTAGAAATTTACCAAAATGGAATAAGAAGAGGATGGTTTCTTAAAAACAGCAGTGTAGCCTGTACTTATTTGGCAGAAATGAATTCTTTTTGCTCTCCCTGTCATCATGTCAAACATTGTCAATGTGATTTGGGGGAGTGAAGAATTCTAGAGTCAAAACCCACAGATTTTAGAAGATAGCCTTAAAAGAGAGGTTGGGTATGATTTTGTCATGGAGCTGAGTCTTGTTTGCAAAAGGTTCTCAAGCTAGTCCTTCAAATCCAGGCCTATATAAATTGAGATTGCTAACACTCTCAGATTAAGTCATTTTCATTAAATCAAAATGGATTTAATCTTTGAATAGCAAGGCAAGACAAACAGAAAGAGTATTATTTATGCACTTTTCAATTAAAAATTCATGTGGATTATCTTCTTCAGAAAAAAATCTTGCCTGTAGAGGTACTGTATTTCTCCAGCTCAATTTCATATAGCATTTCTTAAAAATGCATCTGCACACATTCTGATTAGATTTCGGTCTTGCACAGAGAATTGGATGCTCTTTCTTTTACTTCTTGCCTTGCAAACCATGGCACTAAAGTATCTTCTTTGAAGGTTGTAACGTTTTTTGATGCTCATTAATGATTCTCCCGGTAATATGGTCTATTGTGCCATCCAAGAATGCCAGTTCAAAGCCCTGTGATAAGCTTATCCAGGCTGCCTAAACCAAAATGAGAACTGCAACAAAGACTTGTTCTGGAGCTGAATTAACACTATTGCTCTGGGTTTGCCAAATTTATCTAATGAAGGATGTTATCTTAGCACTGGTATGAATTAGAGGTTATACTATGGATACAGTTGTCTTTCACCAGATCTTTTGCAAGAGAAATTGGACAGGTGTTCCCACTGGCTTAAATAGCTAAATGAAATTAACATTCATTTCTACCCATAGTTCCTACTTAAATGTTTTTAAGCCTTATTATCTTAATAGTTCAGTGACCTTAGAAAGGCAAATAGGAGCTTAACCAAAAATCAATTTTCTATCAGTTGCCTTCCAACTTAGTTGACAGTCTTTTTGGCAATATACATTCATGTTTCCAGTATTGCATGGCAGAATTTCACCTCTGAATTGCTCTTATTCTGAAGGTGTGGTATATAATTATTATTTCCACTTAACTCATCTCTAGAGATTGCCAGGCTCTGTACATCTACCACAATAACGTTGGAAAGATAAGGAACCTCATCAAAGGCACCCCGAAATTGCCATTGCAGCTTTTTGTTGAAACATCAGTAGACTCGGAGAATGTGCCACCAAACATCTAGTTAAAATCATATTTCTTCTCAAGTAGTGTGTCTCACACACACACATAGAGTCATCCACACAAACACATTTCTGGAAAGGAAGAAAACATATATTTGCACTCATGAGTATGTACATTTCTATATTGCTAAAGTGTTTTAGTCTGCTACTCAGAAAAAGCATGGCCATGGCAACTTTTCAAAGGCACTTCTCTACTTTGTGTAAAGCAAGAGTAAACAAATATTCAGCATAATGGGTCATAGTAAACTACGTTTTGTTTGTGTGACCAGGATATAGGCTCCTTTCATTCAATGTCTATTGGAAATCCATCTTATCATAGATGATAAATGTTACTACCTCCTCAGTGATCCTAATATCATGGAAGTCAACGAAATAATTCCCCAGGGACCACAAGCCGGTGATTAGTAGTTTGTGGCTCCATGGTTCATTTAACGTATTTTAATTAAAAAACATATTTTTGAGGGACTTGATTTGTTGCTTCCTGCATACTTGTCTTTTGACAGTGGTTGGCATTGAGTTGTTTCCTTTCTAAAGAAAGCCACATGATCATGAAGGGAAAGATGATGAGCAAAGGGAATTATTAACTAAGGAGTGTACATGCTGGCTAAACTTGCAATGAAGTCTATGTGGTTAGGGTAACTATTCAAGGACTATTTTTTTGATATATTATTATTAAAGTTTGAAAGCGGCGTTCTTTAGCTATCCTTTCTAAGACAACTGGAACTAAGTCAGAGTTTCTTGGGCTATCTGTCTATTTGTGAGGATGTCTAGAAAGTACTTTCCTTGTTCACATAGGCCCAACTGAAAGTGTTTTGCATTTTCAGTTCCATATTCAGGCTCTTAGGTGCTATACTAGAAAGATAAGTTTCTAGGTGCCAGTGGTTTCATTTTATATGATAATTTAAAAAATTAACAAGCATATATTTCGAAGGGATTACTGGGTTTAATTATAATATTCAGGGTAATATATTTTATTATATTTATTTTATATATTTTATATTTTTAATATATATAAATATTTTATATTTTAAAATATATTTTATTATATTTACTACTCATAAAAACCTGAAAATAAGTATATTGTGTATACAATGCTTTTTTCAGTCTTTTTCTACATTTCAAAAGTAAAAATAATGCATTGAGGCAAAAAAATGGTGGAGTAGAATTTGAACCTACATCCATTTAACCACAAAGCTCATGTTTTTGACCCTCTAGGAATCTCTTAGTTTCGCTTTGCCTCAGGTTGGGCATGTTAACCTAATTGAAAAATAGGCCATAGTGCCTTTGGTTGCATATTCTGTGTCTCTCTGTCTTAAATATGAATATTCACAGAACCATACTCTTTAATTTCTTATTAATGCTTTTTATGTCCAAAAATCATTATTTAAAAAATTTTGCATAATTCAAGAGTAACTGAATTTCTGTTGTTGCAATAAACCTTATAAACACTAAGAACTTCTTTTCCTATTTAGAAACAGAGTTTTACTAAATAACATTTGGAAAATTCTTTGGTCAGAAAAGAGCAAGACATCTTGAATCTGGAGCTGTTCATTTTATAGTTAGTTAAGAAGTTTTAAAGGGAATGCTTCTAATTTTCCTACTGATTCTCTTCTTTAAATGATGAAATTACTTTATAAAATCTAAACATGCAGATATAAGATTCTAATATATGTTCCATCACTTGTGTAATTTCTCATCTTTTCCAGTGTTCTGTGTCATAAAGAACCTCTTTAGATGTATATGTTCCCATCCAAGTGTCAGGGGTCAACATTAAACTTCTAAAAATATTATGGAGTCTTTAAAAAAGTTAAATTAGATAAACCATACTAGAAGACTCTGGATCATTCTTTGTGTTGGATGTAGCACATACACTATCCATGTTTCAAATAAACAAGGGACAGGAAGTTACCAACTCACAATTTTTGTGTTCCTGAAAGTTTGTTTGTGAGTTGGTTACTTGGAACCTGTTTTCCTGTAGGAATAATGATACAAATAATAGAGTCTCGCACAAGTCCATCAAAGGCTATTAACCCAATATCTAGTTAACATCCCAAATATTTGCTATAAAATGTGTAAAGAACAGTATGGTTCTCATAGTAATTAAATAGAAGAAAATTATGGCATTAAATGTGTTTTTAATTTTGAATGTTGCTGTTTGAAGGAAAGAAGCTTTAACTGGAGGGCAATGAAGAGCTGGAGAGAAAATTTGAAGGTATTTTTAGAATACCATCAAATACTTTAAGTATTTTCAGAAGTTTTAGATACTCATGACACTGGATTTTTCAATTATGCTCAATTTTGCTTTCATACTTGTAGCTTACCTTTTCCCAATTCAATTTTATCATATGAACTGCTTTTAAATTATGAGTAAAGTCATGATGTAAACTCACAGACTGGATTAAAAGTGGGAGAGAGAATTTACTGAGATAACTCTAAAGGAGTTAGAAGAGAGAAAAATGATAAGGGATTATAATGAATTTGGGCTCACGTGTCTGAATAAGTCCCATTTGGAGAAATTAACTGAATAAGAAAGAGGTCATAGGTAGAATAGAAAAAGCAGGAACATAGTAAAAGCAGGAAAAAGTGGGGTGAGGCAGAGGTGTTGGGTCTCATAGGTTTGTGTGCTAACTA